TGTTGCGATACTAAACTTTCATAAGGACCTATTACTTCCCTAGACTATTTAATACGTATTTTTTACCCCCTGAACTATTTAATAGTGTATTTTAAAGGTTAATATGTGCCTACGTGGACACATTACTATTTATAATTTTGCATTATTTTTTATGTCCACGTGGGCAAATATATATGTTTAAAATACGGTATTAAATAGTCTGGGGGGTAATAGGTCCTCATTAAAGTTTGGTATCGTAACAGCAATTTCGGCCAAAGTTGGGGTATTTTTCAGACCCTTATCCCTACTATTAAGTATAGTTATTTTTCTAAACATTGAATTTATTACATTCAAAGGATGATATAGTAAAATTGTCATTTTACTTATTGTTCAATAAGGGCTATGCGACCAATACTGGACATATAAAAATAGACAGAGGGAAGTACTTATTTAAAAGCTTAACTTTTCATGTTATTTGAGAACTAATACTCCTTTTATTTTGATTTGTTTGTCTAATTTTAACTTGACAAAGGATTTCAAGAAAATAAAGAAGACTTTTGAATCTTATGATCTTAAACAAAAAATATGTAGAATATATCAAGAAATGAATGAAGTGGGCCCACATTAAAAAAAACTACAGATATAGTCTTTTTTGTCCACAAGGAAAAAGGCACACAAATTGTAACTTTAGTACAACATCATCAAAGCATGAAACTATAAAATGGAAAGCCTTAACTGACATAAATATCCTCTAATTCAATGATAATTCGAATAAGCACACATGTTGACCATGTGGTGTGTGTTTATTGCCACTTATATATTAGTAGTAGAAGTAGATAGAAATAGAACTAGATAGATAGTAGATATATTAGTAGTGATAAAGCTAACATAAAGTTCTTTACGTGATCTATGAAGTAAAAGGACGCCTCAATAGATTTTTTCTAATGACCCAAAAATATGGGACCAACCACAGCTTTCGGAGGGGATGATGGACCCGCCCCTAAGTTGCTCGGAGAGTGGGTGTGGGATTTGTGTCCAATTTGGTCAACCAATTTTGGGTACTTTGACCAAAATCGATGGGGAAAGTCTGGACAGTTTTAATGATTTTTGTAATCAATACAAAAGCTAAGGTGAAATTAAAGAGAATGGAATAACTTTTTATATAGAAATTTCTATGTCACTCCTTTTTCTTTAGTCTCATTCCAAGATTCTCCTCAAGTTCTCCTCATAATATCTCATAATTTAGGTTTTAAAACTCTATTTTTAGATATTTTAATTATTTTTAGGCCAATCCCCGCACATGTATCCATACATGGATCCATATCCCCGAATCTTAAAAATTAGATCATGAAGGATCTGCACCCGTATCGGACACCCGCACCCGAGTCCGAGCAACTTAGCCCGCCCCTCTACCCTTCTCCACTTAAATACTGGACTTACTTCGCAGAAATCTCAATAAATTTATGAAGTAACAAAAACAATATCATGGTCATATTGAGAAAAGAATACATCCTCATGTTCTCCCCTCCCAAATCCTCACAGCAATACACAATAAACATCCTTCCAAGTTCCAACAAAGATAGTAACTTGTGAATTGTTCCACATGGTAAAGAAACAGAAATAATTAAAACCACCATCTCATCAAACATGATATTGTGTTAACAAAGCAATTACAAACCATCAAAATAGAGATTAATTAGAGACTTCGTCCCTGAATCCAAATAGATGGTATAGTAGTAGATGACAATTGTAGAGGAATTCACTCAAAAATTGCTAAAGTTAGCTCTAAGAAGGGTCAAGAGGCATAACAGCTTAAAAGCTTTCTATGTTTCTCAAATAGCCAGCAGTATTTGAGCCCAACACAAAGAAGTAAACTGCAATATAATTAGTGAGCGACTCCGAGAGGAGCAGGAGAGAAATATCTGAAGGTAGTAAGTACAGGCTAAAGAGAACACATTCCCAGAATTCAACTCCTTCCTTACCACAGTTGCAGCAGCGAACAATGGCGGATGAATGCAATAGTTGATGAACCAAGGAAACAGTTATGTGGTCATAATGAACTCAACAAGAGAGAGACTATGATTAAGTATAGATGAGTTGATACAGTAGTGAGGCAGTTCCCAAAAGGCAAAGGTGAACAGTGTAATTAAAAGCCACCAATTCAGCGCTTAAAACGATGAAGTGATGTGTAGTGATGTGTAGTGACGGGTTATCGCTTCATGTGTGAAGCAATGAAGCTTCAAAACAATAACTTGCAAAGTCATCCCAACAAGAGCAATTTGTTATTGATACTCCCTTTGTCCCAATTTATGTGGCACCTTTTCCTTTTTAGTTTTGTCCCTAAAAGAATGTCATCTTTCCATAATTGAAAACAATTTAACTATAAAATTTTCTTTTTTCCCTTAATAAAATGATTTATAACCACACAAATATCCAAGATTTGTTTTAGACCACAAGTTTAAGAAGTCCTCATTTTTTTCTTAACTTTGTGTCAAGTCAAACCGTACCACATAAATTGGGACAGAGGGAGTATTATTTTGTATTTTCAACAAGTTAGATGCTTCATTTTAAAGCAGCATGTTTTTTTTTTCTTTTTGATAAACCGAGAAATTCTCAAGGGCTTATGGGCGCATGATTCGAACTCAGTGGATAATGGGCCTCGCTATACTCCCCACTCAAATACCAGGCTTTTGTGTACAGCAAAGTTCGAACCCACTTAAAGAAGCATGCACTTTTAATTCTTGCTTTTTGCTCAAGCCCCGTCAACCTTGTCGCTTTATTGCACTTTTCTCTTTTAAGAACATTGCAGAGAACATTCTTCCATGGTTTGATTTTAGTGAAGCTTAAAAGAAACAACAAAAATTCACAAAATGGTCAAATTGAGATCATTTCACGTTTTGATAGCTACATAAGCACAACCAAAAGATTTGTGGCTTAGATGGAACTGCGTAGAATTTGATGGTCCTTGTGCACTCCACCTAACATTATAGAGGTAAACATTTATATTCAAATTCAACATCATCTCTATTTAATAGTATGCCATAAGCTAATGTAAATGGCATGAAAACACAGTGATACCCAGCTCCTCCAAATCATGAACTTCTTTCAGCTCATGTTCATTGAATCATTGCATCACTATTACCGTCTTTGTTCTAATCCTTGGGTAAGGTCGCTCATGTTAGAGATGGAAATATGCAAATTTAAGTATCAGGACTAAAGGGACCATTTGGTTCAACCAAATCCACCAATTAATATCTTATACAGCCACTTCAAGTCACAAAGTTTAGCTAATACCGAAAAGAGTCTCCAACACCTTAAAATGTCCTTAACAAAACCATCTACCGTAAGAAAGTAGTAAATACGTTGAATTGTTTCACCACTGTACGATAAATTATTGTTTCTGATAAGGGTGATCAGACTATTATTTCTCAACTTCAGAAAATTTATTTGCAAATGTTGCAAACATGCATGTCCCGAATTTGTAATAGTCAAAATGATATGATGTCAACTACCAGATAATGTGCACATAAAAAAGAGTGGTGAGACCTTCAATTGAAATTTAAAAAAAAACATAGCACTAGAACAAACCTCACCACTGCCCTTTTTAGCTTGCAAGGTAGCAACTATGTCCAAGCATTTCTCTATATCAGGAATCTTTGCCTGGCATAGATGAAACAAGGATAAGAGAAACTCTCCACAAATCTGAGTAGAACAAAATGAAAGCATTACCTAGCAAAACTGAGACATTTTCGGTATGATTTTTACCAATCGTATCATAGAATCTGACTTCATTAGTGAAAGCATGCATGAAGATGTTAAACATTCGAGGGAAAACCTTTGGGACTAATCAGTATCACAACATATATCTTTACAAACAGTCAATCGAATTGTAGAGGAAGGCTAACTTAGCTTATCCTTATTTCAGTGGGTTTTTATATTGGGAACGGCACCAATACGTTCACCACGCTTTCAGATTACTTTAAATTGAGAGTATCTTCCACTTTAAATTTCAAATAACCCATTAGTAACATGAGGCAGTCATACTGGCAATCGGAAGCTAGCAGAAGTGGAGACGTTTAACATTCTATAGTTCTGCGATGCATAAGCTATCTTTGAGGGTCAGGCAATTCCACTTATAAGAAATTATAGGAGAAGCCATTCATCTGTAGAGTGACGTAATTTCTGTAATCCTCATATGTTGGTCTAACTAGTAAATCTGAGCCCTATTCATAGCTTTGACATGAAGCAAGTAGCAACAAAATGCGAAAGGACAATCTTTACTCCTCTTGCATAAAACTTTAGTCTGAAAATTTGTAGGAAAATTGATATGATCTCGTAAGTAACATAGATTTACCATATTTTATTTTTCTTTCAATCTGATGAAAAGGCTAATCACATCATTGTCTTGATAATATTCCTGGAAATCAACAGCAAAATACGCGGAACTTAAGAATGGTTCTAAAACTTCCCATGCGCCTTCTGACAAGAATCAACCATTAAAATTCTGAAAGGTGAACACTTATCCACTTAATTTCTCTAAAAAACAGAACAATGATAGCACATTAATCCAAGGACCAATCAAATGTCGGTATCCACATCAGGACAGACTTAGTTGTGAATAGAACTAAATTTGAAAATAAGACACGAACATGTACCTGAAGATCCCTCTGCTGAGCCAGAAGTTTCATTTCAACCACCCTATACTGCTGAAGTCTGCAATGGATGACATGAATTTATCATTAAAAAACTATATATTGAAAAGTTAAAGGAGAACATACGTAACTAACCACTTGCATATATTTTAAAACATGACTATTGATATGCATGGCTTTGGGGCTTATGACTTTTAGTAGTGACAAATATTCAGATACAGCAACCCAAATTGGATAGGATTACAAATTTATGATATATGAGTTCTAGTATACAGGCCAAATCATTAAAGAACAAAAGAAACAAGAGAGTTCCAATTTTGTCCAAAAAACCCCATGTGATTTTATCGTTTCAGAAATGAAGAGACTCCTACAAGGCTACAAAACTTGGAAGAACAAGAAATCAAGGCTTACGCTCTATTGATTTTAGCAAAGCGTGAGAATCCTTTTTAAAAAAACAATAGGTAGCTTTACCTGAGAATCCTTATTAAATAGAACTAAAACTGATAGTGTATTATTATATATAGTTGAGCTAGGAGCTAGGAGCCGTGAGCTATGCTCCATTTGAAGTTTTGATGACTAACAAACATGATGCAAGAACCAGATATTGAACATATCTCAAATAAGGACTGGTAGTGTTTTTTTTTTTTTTGAAAAAGTTAACTTGTATTATGAACAAAAGGAATACTCAGAAAAGTATTCCAGTAATACTTACAACAAAATTACAGAGGGAGGGGTGTCCCTACTAAGCTTCATAAATAATCTAAAATACTAGGAATATCCTCTTCTTCTTGAGGATATTCGTGTTTACACCAAAAAAAAAAAGAAAAGGACTAGACAGTTCATCTTCAGTTTCTGCAGAGAGCAACTCTTGTTTTCGAAACATCTCTGGTTCCTTTCCATCCATATAGTCCACCAAATGCAGGCTGGGACAATCTTCCATCTCTCCCTGTGTCCCGACTGATTCCCATCTCTATTCCAGCAAGCTAGAGCCTCTTTGATGCTCCTTGGCATAGTCCAGCTTATGCCTCTTAAATTGATGAAAATCTACCATAACTTCACAGTCTCTCTACAATGTAGAAAGAGATGATTTATTGTCTCAATCTCACATTCACAAAAAGAGCACCTAGAGCAAAACTGACAACCTCTTTTCATAAGGTTGTCCTGGGTGAGTGTGGCCTGTTTGGCTAGTAGCCAAGTGAAACATGCAACCTTGAAGGGTACCTTGACTTTCCAGATCATCTTCCAGGGCCAGCCACTACTCTGAGAGACTGATCTTTGTGATGTCTTGTAAGCTGAACCAACTGAAAAAGGACTGGTAGTGTTTATGACAACTAACTATTGAAGAACCAGTTCCTTAACATGGACTAGACAAAATAAAAGCATTGCTTTTCTCGCTTCACCGCTTCTGGTCGCATCGCGCTTCAAGCCCAGAAGCGGTCGCTTCTTTTCACATGCCTCGCTTCAGCCAACTGAAGCGCTGAACCCTCGCTTCGCTTCACCGCTTAAAGCGATGAAGCGCTCGCTTTCCTGAACAATGATTCTAGCAAGCTAGAGCCTCTTTGATGCTCCTTGGCATAGTCCAGCTTATGCCTCTTAAATTGATGAAAATCTACCATAACTTCACAGTCTCTCTACAATGTAGAAAGAGATGATTTATTGTCTCAATCTCACATTCACAAAAAGAGCACCTAGAGCAAAACTGACAACCTCTTTTCATAAGGTTGTCCTGGGTGAGTGTGGCCTGTTTGGCTAGTAGCCAAGTGAAACATGCAACCTTGAAGGGTACCTTGACTTTCCAGATCATCTTCCAGGGCCAGCCACTACTCTGAGAGACTGATCTTTGTGATGTCTTGTAAGCTGAACCAACTGAAAAAGGACTGGTAGTGTTTATGACAACTAACTATTGAAGAACCAGTTCCTTAACATGTCTATTGCAAAAGTTGATTACAGAAGTACACTGCAAGAAGTGAAGGGATCAGGACTGGTGATCAGGGGCAAAGCAGATTCCAAGTGTATGAAGGATTCCTTGAGGAATTGCAAGTATGGCTAATCACATGGATCAAGGAACAAGAAACTAACATGGAAATATTACCATATTTGCACGCATGGAAAGAGCTTTGGAAATAGGAGAAAACAAGTGGAAGTCGACGCGTGAATGGAAAGAGAAGGATTAGGTTCTTGGATTCTTGAACCAATTCTTGCTTGATTTGGAGAAGAATACGGCCAGAGTTCCCTTCTTCATACTAATCCCATGTCTACTGTTCCATTGATTTCAAATACCCCTCTTGTGTCCAATATTCCACTACCTACTGTTACTCTCCCTCACAACAACCCTCCCTTGCTTCCTCTGCCTATCCAAAACATCATTGTCACCATGACCCTGTCTTTAATTCTTTCAAAGCCAAAATCAACTTTCCAGAAGTAAATGGTACTAACCCCAGGGGTTGGTTACGAAAATGTGAGCAGTTTTGAAATACATCAATTTCAGACCAAAATAAGATGAGCTGTGTCAGTCCATATGAAGGAGAAGGCTGACATTTGGTTTGATAGTCACATTTGGAGAAAAAAGGCACTAACTGGCCATTGTTCTCTGTGGAAGTGTGTCACAGATTTGGCAATGTTAGACCGGACTATGGCTTTGGATCCAGACTGGTTAGGATTTCAGCTCATGAAATCTTTCTTGATAGCTCTCTACTCCACCAAAATACCCCACAAAACCAAAGAGTCATAGTCCCTTACTTGGGACGTAGCCAGTCATCACAACCTAAACCTTTTGTTCCTAGACCATCAGCTCCCTTCAAACCAAACACTGTGCTGGCAAATCTGAGAGAAAGGGGACTATATAATAGATGACATAAGAAATATTTCTCAGGTCATCAATGTAAGCCAAAGACAACGAATGTCACTACTTGGGAGGGACAGAATGGCCGGATGATCCAGTACCAATCATACAAAAGGAAGGAGAAAAGAGAAGAAAAACATGTGGGAGAAGAGGAGACGATGGAAGTTTCTGTATGTGTGGCTCTAGGCATTGATAAGTCATCGTCAACAACAAAATACCCAGTTTAGTTCCATAAAATAGGAAGGGTAGAGTGTACGCATTCCTTACCCCTATCTTAGAGGTAGAGAAGTTGTTTTTGAAAAAACCCTCGGCTCCAGGAAAAAAATTTCAGAGCAGTAAAAAAAAAAATAACAGAAGTGAGAAAACCATGGCAAATACTATAGAAAATATGACAAATCATTCTGAACAGTAACTACAATAAAATAATACGATAATCAAAGTACAACAAACACTAAATAGCAATAAAATCGAAGGCCAAGAAACTACCGGAGTAATTCTACGACTAATCGAACGCAAGAATACGCAAGACAATGCCCTACTACCTACTAACCTTCCACCCTAATCCATGTCCTCCACAAACTCCTATCTACGGTAATGTCCTCGGCATGCGGAAACTGTGTCATGTCTTGTCTATCACCTCTCCCCAATACTTCTTCGACCCAGTGTTGTGAAAGGCGCTCACCCTATTGCCTTTGGTGAGAGGCAAGGTGAGGCCTTGTTGCCTATTAGGCTATTACTAGCAAGGCGAGGCGATATCGCAAAGCCGAGAAAAGGGGAGAATAGGGGAGTGGCGACGTGGCGAGGCGATAGAGGCGTCGCCATTTGTTTTCTTTAAAAATGACATCGATTTAAAAGTTAAAAAGGCAATATTAGGGTTTATTTGCACAAAGCCACAAACCGCGAATTTCTTCTCCAAAGTTCAGACTTCAACACTTCTCTTCAGACTTCAAGTACATCTACTATGTTGATCTTCACTCTTCTTCTTCTTTCTCCTCTGCTTCGTGACAGTCAACACTTTGTTCTTCTTTCGCAACTCTTAACCAGTATGCCACTGTGAACAGCTTCTCATTCTTCTGTTTTTTTAAGACTCTTTTATATACTCTGTTTTCTATTTTCTGCAGTCTGCCCATTTTTTTTATAACAAAATTCTAGTCCTTCTATTTTTATTTCTGCCCAATTCAATTTAGTTATGTACTAATTCATATAGTAATTATTTACCCAGAAACAACAATTTCAATGGCATCTAATTAATATGAATTATTAAATAATTCAAGTTCTAAACTATAGTATCTGCTATCTACTTTTAGTTTTTGAATTGAAATATTTGCTAATATGTTTTTTTTTTTGTTATTTATATATGCAATTAAATATTCTAGGTTTTCGAAATTGATTGGTGCATCACTTCAAAAAGGTGAGCGCCGACCTCTCGCCTCGTGGCGAGGCAAGACAGACCTGCGGCGAGGCAGACCCTTGTCGCCTTTTTCCATCCAAAACACTGCTTCAGCCTACCTCTATCTCTCCCGAAACTATTCATAGTCAACCTCTCACACCTCCACATTAGGGCATTTGTACATCTCCACTTCACATGCCCAAACCATCTCAGCCTCACTATCCGCATCTTATCCTCTACAAAATCCACATTTACCTTGTCCAGATTCTAGTCCTATCCTTCCTATTATTCCCACAAATCCATCACAGCATCCTCATTTCCGCAACTTTATCTTTTGTACGTAAGAGTTCTTTACTAGCCAACACTCCACCTCATACAACATAGTTGGTCTAACAATCACCCTTTAGAACTTGTCTTTTCAGTTTTGGTGACACCTTCTTATCACACAAGACTCTAGATGAGAGCCTCCATTTCATCCACAATTCACATTTTGGGATTGGCCAAGAGGGTACCCTTAGCAGGATAGATGGGGTGATTCGTGTGAGATCCAATGTAGATCCAACTTTTCAATCACTATGGGATCCGGGCAAAAGGATTTCTCGGGCGGAGAGGGGATTTGTGCATCCAACTATAAGATAGATGGCCTTGCTTGCCTTTTGTGATCTGCCAATTGCAATACATGAAAAAGGCTGACACAACCCATATTCAAGCAGCTCTTATATATGCGCTATTTCAGGGGCCTTGTCAGCCACCGCTTGTTGATGAGGGAAAACATCATCAATTAAAGGGTTCTCACCTTGGATTTAGTTGGAAAGGTTGGTGTTCGGTATGTCCCTTTTTTCTGGTTGAAGTTAATGTCTGTGGCACCGAAATGGGAGTTGTAGTCATGCAAGAGGGCCATCCCTTGGCCTATATTAGCCAATCACTCAGTAAAAAACATCAAGGCCTTTCTGCATATGAGAAGGAACTCATTGCATTATTGGTGGCAGTTGACAAGTGGAGACTATAAAGGTTTGAGATGTAGAAGAGGAAAGATGATTTTAATCATGAACAACATGCTCTTTATATAGAGCAGCTACAGAACTGAAAAATACTAACCCGCTAAGTTACATAGTAATCTGATAAGACTATTTAGTGAAATGGAATACTGTGATGCTAAGCAAAGAAAGAGGGGGACTAGGTATTAGAAATTTGAGAATCCAAAACAAGAGCCTTTTGATGAAGTGGTTGTGGAGATATACTAGTGAGGAAGGAACCCTATGGAAGGAGGTGATAGTGGCAAAGTATGGGAATTGAACCCATGGTGTACAGAGATAGTGTCAGAACCCTATGGATGGGGAGTATGGAGGTCAATCAGAGCTTTATGGAACTCTATGGAAGAAAATGTGTTTCTCAAAATTGGAAATGGCAACAAGATCAAGTTTTGGAGAGATGGATGGATTGATCAAATTCCTCTAAGTGAGTCATTCCCAGATCTTTTCTCAATCTGCAACAATCCTGAAGCCAGAGTATGTGAATGCTGGACCTATCTTTCAGAAGGCTATTGAATGACTGGGAAGTAGATAGAGTGGCTTCTTTCCATGGAAAATTGGGGGGAATCAATCTAGTAACAAATGCACCAGATAGAGTTATTTGGAAGCACAAAAAGGATGGCAAATTCACAGTAAACAGTGCTTACAAGAAAGGCATACAAGTTGGGGTTAGAGGCTACCATCATCACTGGAAGAGTATTTGGAGTAGGATTGATCCCCACCAAAGTGAAATGCTTCACTTGGTTAGTCATCAAAAGAGCCTGCTTAACTCAAGAAGTGCTGCAGAAGAAAGGAAAGCAACTAGTCCCTAGGTGTTTCCTGTGCACCTATTTTTACATTGCAAATTCACTGCACAGACCTGGGAGCTGTTTCTCAACATCACATGTTGTAGCTGGTCTATGCCAGAACACACCTCTGATCTTTTTAAATGTTGGATCAGAAGAGGGGGTAGCAAGACTCAAAAGAAGTGGTGGAAGCTAATAACATCATGCATATGGTGGTCAGTGTGGAAGGAAAGAAATGGGAGATGTTTTGAAGATAGATCTAATTCCATTCACAAAGTAAAATGGAATTGTTTGGTATCTTTACTTTTTTGGTGTTAAACAACTTTTGCATAGAAGATGTAGATCAAATTATAGAATTAATAGGGAGCTTGTAATTTCGCTTAGGGCTGTAAATTTTGAAGGTGCCAGCATGTCCTTAATGCTGAAGAATACAACTTTACCAATGTTCAAAAAGATACAAAGCAATAAAAATACTAAAATACAGGAAAGGATAGGAAGTCCTAAATGAATCAATGAGTAGTAGAATACAAGAACCAACAGATAGATAGAAAATAGGAATTAATAACAAACTCCTTAAACTAAAGGATAACAAATATTATTTGTTAATAGAGACACAACCTGCGCCCTCACCATTTCATTAGTAAGACTGATCATTTATTCTTAAAGTTCTTGCAAGAACAAAAGACACCACTTCATTGCAGCATAAGGGACAGTCAAAATTGATGGGCTTAATTTATGATATTCACTACAAGAAGGGTGTTAGAAACACTATAGTTGATGCTTTATCAAGGGTACAAGATGACTCAAGTTCATGTTGTTTAATCTCTCAAATACAGCCTAAATGGAAGAAGTGTGCAGGAGTTATGAAAATGATGCAGAAGTGACTCCACTAATAGCTCAAGCAGTGATTGATCTCACTATAGTTACTGATGTTACCGTGAGTCAGGGCACTTAGATACAAAGGCAGGATTTGGGAGGGAAGTCAGACTGACTTGAGACAACAACCGGTGCTTCATATTCATTCTTCTAGACTTGGTGGTCATTCAGGGATATCAGCCACAATGCAGTCACTGGTCAAAAATGTCTTGCTGACATCAAGAAAGTGGTGCTACAGTCTGTCATTTGCCACAGATGCAAGGGTGAATAAGTGACTTGTCCAGGGTTGTTGCTACCACTTCATGTACCAGACAAAGCATCAGAGCACATCACCATGGATTTTATTGAACACCTCCCCAAGTTTGAAGGCAAGATTATATCTTTGTCATTGTGGACAGATTCAGTAAGAATACTCACTTCTTGTCTCTAGCACATCTTTTTAATGATGTTCGAATTGCTAAAATATATACGAGGAATGTGTACGAACTCCATGGTCTACCACAAAGTACAGTTAGTGAAATAGTGACAGATACAAAGTGTTTCTAAACCTTTTCTGGAAGGAACTGTTCAAGGACCTTAAGAGTGAATTGAAGTTCAACTCTGCTTACCATCCCCAAACTGATGGCCAGACTGAGGGAGTAAATAAATGTCCGGAGAACTACTTGAGATGCATGTGCAGTCATAAGCCAAATGATTGGCACAAATGGCTTCCACTGAACTGAGTTTTGGTATAATTCCAATAACCATATTGCCATTAAGATGTCTCCACTCAAAGTGATGTATGGCTATGATCCTCCACAATTGTCATTTGAGTAGGTGGCTCTATCCTAGGAGCTGAGGTGGACCAGTGGCTCCAAGAAAGAAAGATTATGGCTAAGGCACTCAAAGTAAGCTTAGCCCAGAATGAAGTTATATGCTGATAAGAACAGGACTAAGAGAATTTGAAACTGGGGACTGCGTTTACTTGAAATTACAGGCAGATTATTGTTGCATTGAGGAGCAACCTCAAACTGACTTTACTATGGCCCTTATCTAGTGATCAGGAAGCTGTGCTGTAGCTTATGAATTGAGATTTCCCTCATCAGCAAGAATTGTACTCCATATTTCTGGTTGAAGAAAAAGACCGGTGCTCATGTGATCCCTGCTCTTAATCCTCCTTTATGCTCAGCATATGGCCAGCCTCTTGTTGAACAAGTAGCCATATTAGATAGTAGAGTTGTGCAGAAAGGAAATGCAGCAGTGTCTCAAGTGTTAGTGTAGTGGGCTAATTTGCTCACAGAGAGGGCAACTTGGGAAGATTACAACTTCCTGCTATCTGAGATTCTGAATTGGTGATCCTTGAGGAAGGATTTTAAGGGGGGTGGAATGTCATGATATGAGAATACCAGGAACCAAGTTTGAGCCCAAGAGAAGGAAAGGCTCAAGACACTTTGTTGTTGGCCCAAGTAGTTTACAATAATATGTTTTAGCCCATCTGTATTTCCAGAATATGATTTTCATGTAATTGCATTAGTAGTCCTTTGTGATTTATGTTACCTAGCAAAAGCATGCCACATGTCCCCTACACATTAGCTGGACAGTGTCCTTATTAGTTGTTTGTACTGCATTTCATCATTTTTTTTATCGAATATATGAATGTCAATCTTCTTCCTACATTCTCTTATTTTCTTCCTTCTCTTCTGTCCATTCTGCGGAATTACTCATGGATTGAGCTCAGTTCTAGCTCAAATCGTGACATGTAGCAAAAAACTAACTTATAATCAAGGAACCCTGAAGAAAATTAACACAAAACAAAACCAAGAAACTCATAAATGGAAGCAAAAACTCAACACTACACCCAGCCACAAAACTTGATTAACTCAAACTTTATGACACAACAAGTTATAAGTGTACCCGCAGAAAGTTCTAGGTGTTTTGAGAGCATAGAGAATAGTATGCAAAAAGTTAAACTCAACTGCATTTTGTTGTTATGTTTTTGGTGCAATCAATTATACTCAAATGAAACTGTCTCTATAATTGATGTTTTAGATTCAATTTAGATTTAGAACAGTGGAGTTTTGGAGTTCATCTGTATATAAGGTTGAGTACTGCCCATGTACTATTGTGTTATAATACAAAGTTACCAAGTTTCAAAAGTTATAAGTGTACCCGCAATTACAAAATCCCTAAAGAATGGAACTCTCCCATCGTAGAGTACAACTAATGTCTAATTAAGCAAAACCTGAAGTAAACAAACAAAACAAAAACAAAGAAACTCAGATATTCATGCCAAAACTCTCCAGCACACTAAAAATTTATGTAAACGACATACATTCCCAAGCAGTCATAAGATCCCTAAAGATTGAAACTTTAACATCATATAAGATAATAACTCCTAATTAAGCAAACCCTGAACTAAACAACACCAAAGAGACCAACAGAAACCTCATAAACTAAACCTAAAATTCTACAGTACACGAGTCACTGACCTTCATTTGATATCAAGTAATAAAAACAAATAGCATTAGTTACCAAAGAGATCATAGTCACACAGGGAAGAGAGAGACCTTTCTTGGAGAAAGGAAAGAGCAGAGTTGACATCGAGACCAGAATGATTGAGATAGGACTGAACATCTTCTACAAATGACGCCGCTGGTATTCCCCTTCTCTCCGTTAACCCACTTTCCGTCGCCGACGACGACTCTGCCGCTATTTCCATCGAGTTTGGTTTGCACTGATAATTAAACTCTCTTGTGGGTTTTGGCATCACTTTATTCATTGGGAATGTTAGAACCCTGCAGGACTGAACAAGAAAGAATTTACCATGTCTTTAGTATGGGCTGACCGACTGAAGTCGTAATGTCGAAAACTGACACACACTTAGAGTCGTCGGGCTAGGCCTGTTGGGCCGGCATGGCTTAATTCGTGATTTGATAATATTGGATTACGATTTTTAAAATTCATTTAAGAAAATGGCTTTTTAGCTCTGTCTGAATAAGTCGGTCGATTTGTGGGGCTTGAAAAATATGGATAGGGTCAATCCGTGGGCCAAATAAAAATTAATTAAAAAATAAAAATAAAATAGGAGTATTAAAAATAACAAGAGTCTAAACTCCAAAACTATCTAAAGTTTGAAATATTACAATTTAAATACAAATTATGTTTATAAAATATGTACTACATAAAATAAAAATTCTCAAATTTATAGGGAATCACTACATAGGCCATAGCCTATGGAGCATTGTTATAGTTTTTGTGTTTTACTATGATCATTAGAAAACAATTATGTTAATATTTCTATTTAGCTATTTATGTCCAAACTTAATAAATATTATAAAGATAATTTTATTTTTGTATTTAATTAACAAGTAGTAATACTAACACCATATAATATTGTCTTGTCGATATTTATGATAATATTTTAAAATTATAATTTAATTTAAAAAATTATAAGAAAATATATTTTTTTTAAAAGAGGGCTGGCCCGGCAAAGCCCGTTGCTCACGTACTTGTGGGCTGGGCCGACCATTTTTTGGCCCACACAAAAAATGGGCTAGCCCGACCTGGCTCGTCAAATTTCAAAGCTTGTATGGGTTAGCCCGGATGGGATGGGTCAGCCCATATTGACAGTTCTACTTTTAAGTTTGTCAAACGTTAATGTTGGTAGCCAATTGAGTTGAATATGAGGGTAAAAAATTATGAAAAAATTACTTGGATGGGTACTTTTTAATAAATAATTACTAATTTTAGCTATACTTTATATTTATTACCATTATAGCAATACATAACAATATTATGTTAAATCTGCAATATGTATTAAAAGTGAATTATGTATGCAATATATATGTATTATAACTGTTTTTTAAAATATATTATGCTTGTTTGGTAAGAAATTGACACATTGTATTATAAGTGTATTAAAATGTGTGATAAATGTATTATCCATCAAGAAAACTTATATTATATATGAATAATAAATTGTACTTTATAATATGTATTAAAATTGTATTATAAATGTATTAAAAGCGATCAAGTAAATAAAATGTTATTGCTATAAATGGTAAATATTTTTTTAATATAATATATTTATATAAGTTTCCCAAATTATTGTAAATTACTAGAATATTCAATTTAAGACTTTTATTTACATAAAATAAAAATAAATATAAATCTACCTCTTTTTATTTACAACATTAAAATTTTAATTATAAATATGACAACTTATTAAATATGGACAATTTTACACGTTTTGTATATCTGTTTTTTTTACCTTAGTAAAGTGATTTTATGAGACTCATAATTAATTATTTTTACCTTTTGGATTATCGATCACACTTAGTATAGGTATTCGTGCGATACGCAGATAATATTAAAATATTATTTTTAAGTGTATTTAATGTGATATCTTGTCTGAACATGTTAAATAATAGGGAGAAGGGACGGATTTACCCCCGAACTTTTAATAAATGGTACGTCTATGCCCTCTGTTATACTTTCCGTCCACATAAGCCCCTGCCGTCCAATTATAGGTACACATATACCCCTCTCACTAACGGACCCCTAATTTCTTACACGTGTCTTAATCCTATTGAACTACCCGTTTGACCCTTTTTTTTAACCCATAACCCAACTATCCGCCCCATAACCCAATACCCACCCAATTTCCTCTAAAAGGAATCCTAATTAAAAGACCCAGAATATGATGTTGAAATTGTTGGTGGTGATGCTGATGATGCCGGTGTTTTAACTAACACCTCATACTCCTCCTTCAGCGACTCACACCTATACCCATAATCATACCCATATTCCTCAGCGGCTTGTAGCTCAACCCTGGCTGCCTCCTCTGAAGCCAAAACCAACAACCTCTTGATCTCATCCCTCCTCGCCACCGAACGCCTCCATTTCCGTCTAACCATAAAACCTGACACTGGTCCAAAAACCGCCATGAACGCTGCCACCACCAAGCTCGAGAGAAACCCTAGATCCCCTCCCACGAGCATTTACACAAACCCACAAACAACAACAGATCACATCCAAACCCTAATCCTTCCAAATTCATAGAGCTCTATACCACCCCTCCACCAATCACGATGTTGAAAATACTCCACCACACAAAGATCAAAACTTTGCATGCACACAGAATTCAATCAACCAAAATTGTGGAGAAATCGAGAGAGGAAAGTGCAATAAAGTCACTGGAAGAGAGAAGATTCAGACCCAAAGAGAATTTTTTTTATCCTAGAACGAGAATTTAGGGGATTTTTTAAAGTTTGAAGTTTAGGGGAAAATTGAAAAAGGAAACTAAATAATAAGATATATCTTAGAGGAAATTGGGTGGGTATTGGGTTTATGGGGCGGGTAGTTGGTTTATGGGTTAAAAAGAAAGGTCAAATGGGTAGTTGATTAGATTTAAGACACGTGTAAAAAATGAGGGGGCCGTTAGTGAGAGGGGTATGTGTGTACCTATAATTGGACGGCAGGGGCTTATATGGACGGAAAGTATAACGGAGGGCATAGACGTACCATTTATTAAAGTTCGGGGGTAAATCCGTCCCTTCTCCCTAAATAATATTACCTTAGGAAAAAAAAATCCAACTATCATATTGTTTTTTAGTGAAATGTAGTCCTCCACCCCCATTCCCACCCCACCCCACTCTAAATGTAATCCCCCAACCTCATCCCCATCCAGAGGTAGAGTAAAGAGTTTGGGAGATCTTTTGAACCCACAACACTAGTGTGAAAAACATTTTCACTGCTCTTCCTTACTACTGAGTTTTCATCAATTTTGTTAGGAAGTTATGTAAT